TATCCGTTTTCAAAACGAGTTAACTTTCTGGCATCCTCCAAAATAGACTAAATAGTTTGGTTATCTATTTGTCTACTTATAAAGTAGCATCATGAACTCATGGACTTAAACATCTGACAGGTTTCAATAACTGTAGTTATTATTAGCCTTCTTGATGCTCAAATTGTCCCATTTTTGCCCAGAGGGAGCCCAATCAAGTTGATTCCTGAGACTTTTTGTTATGATCCTAGTAGTCTTTGAAAGCTTCCTTGCTTTCTCTTAGAAAAAACGTTCTAGGCACATCTTATTTATTTACTACCTCAAACCTGGAATCAGTCATTTATTTCAATAAGCCCTAGTTCTTTTATTGGGAAATGGTATTTAGAGAACACAATCTGGGCACTTGGTTGGGTCACAATGTTTTCTATCATTTAGAAATTTTATTTTATAATGACTGAAAGAGCTCTTTTTGACCTTGTCATGGGTTGAAAGTATCCCCCCCAAAATTCATGTCCACCTGGAACCTCAGAATATGACATTTAGAAATAGGGTCTTGGCAGATCAATTAAGATTGATGTGAGATCATACTGGATTAGGGTGTGCACTAAATCCAATGAGAGTGTCCTTATCAGATACAGAATATGATACAGAGGGAGACAAAAAGGCTGCCATGTGAAGACAGAGGCAGAGATTTCAGGGCTGCAGCTACAAGCCAAAGAAGGTCAAAGATTGCCAGGAGCCACCAGAAGTTAGGGAGAGGCAAGGAAGAACTCTTCCTTAGAGCCTTAGAGGAGCATGGGTCTACAGAGACCTTGACTTCAGACTTCTAACCCTCGGACTGTGAAAAAAACAAGTTTCTGTTGTTTAAGCCACTAAGTTTGTGGTTAATTTGTTACAGGAAACTAACATAGTTTCTATATAGGAAACTAATACAGATCTAGACATAGTTCTTTTCCTGTTTTTAAATCAAATCATAAATAAAAACGAATATATAGGTATAGTAAATTGATTAAGGTATTCATAAAACTTCTTTTTCTAATTACTCTTCAACTCTTTAATTTGTCAATGACCATTTTTCACATAATATCATCTTTGTGCTATCAAGAACAGTGGTGATTTCTTCAGGAAATCCATCAAAGAACTAAATCATTGGCGCTGTACTCTTATACTGGCTTTGCAATTAAGCATGTAGAACTGGCCAACTTTGACTCTTTTGGGAATGATGGCACACACGTCTGATTGATTCCCCCCAATTCTCCCACTCTCAATTAGGCGTCTAGTCCACAATTATCTATGGACTTTCTTCCAACCTTCTGCTATCCATTCTTCAAATTTAATGATTAACACTTTGTATGTTCATACATTCGCAGGCAGTAACAACCACTGCTGCTTGGCCAAGTGTGATCATACAGGGCAAGTGATAGACAGAATCCCATTTCAGAGATGTCAGAATGTGAAAAAAAATGGATTTTCAGAATTGATCAAATAAGGGGTGTGCTAAATGAGTTATAAAGACAAAAAGAAACACAACTTCAGAAAACAGAGACAACATTAGAAATTTTCTGACAGCTATTTGGTTTTCCATCTTTTTGGAATACCTTTACGAAGTTAGTTTTCCAAAAATGGTTTCACCACATTGTATCCCACTGAAAAAAAGCTTTAATGGTAGCTACTACTTGCATAACATTACTCCCTATAAGATAATATCCAGAAATTTTAGCTTTATTGGTCAAAACTCTCTATGATGATGTGGCCGGCCCGGTAGCGAAGCGGTTAAGTTCACACGTTCTGCTTCGGCAGCCTGGGGTTCACCAGTTCAGATCCCAGGTGCGGACATGGCACCGCTTCTCAAGCCATGCTGTGGTAGGCGTCCCACATATAAAGTAGAGGAAGATGGGCACGGATGGTAGCTCAGGGCCAGTCTTCCTCAGCAAAAAGAGGAGGATTGGCAGATGTTAGCTGAGGGCTAGTCTTCCTCAAAACAAACAAACAAACAAAACTCTCTATGATGACCTCAACCTTCCTTTCCAGTCTTATTTCTGACATGGTCTTAAACATTTTTGCCTGAACTTAAGAGTGGGGAAAGAAATGACAACTGGAAGAAATCATCAATTTAACCTAGAGCCAAGCACAAATACACATATCAACGTGAAGCAATCATCACTAAAATAATTTGAAGTTGAATACATCTTATCTGTATATGGCATGCAAACATCCATATTTCTTCAGAACATCTCTACTTGGTTGTAGCATAGGCATCTTATATGTCCAAAAGAGAATTCCTGATTATACCCTCCCAAACATTCTCCTACCAACCTTCCCTAGGTCAGTAATTGGCAACTGCATTTTAACAGATGCTCAGGCCAAGACCTTAGAGTTAACTTTTACTTCCCTCTTCCTTGTACTCCACATTCAATCCATCAGCAAATCCAGTTAATTACACCTTTGAAACACAATACATACAGAATTAAACCACTTTCACCACCTCCACTAACATCCTCTTGTCCCAGGCCACGACAATCTGTAGCCTGGAAAACAGCCACCTAAGTAGTCTCTCAGTCTTCCTCGGAGACTCCTCCCCTCCCCTATGATCTATTCTCCCCTTAACAGCAAGAGCGATGTTCAATAATACGTCTGATTATGTTATTCCTGAAAATGCTTCTCATCTCACACAGGCCTCCCCACCAATGTCTTACTCTCCCTCTTCCACCTACATCATAACTCAATCATTCTAGTCATACTGATCTCCACACTATTGCTCGAACATACCAAGAATGCTCCTGTCTCAGGGCTTCTGCACTTGCTGTTCCCTTGCCTGGAATACTTTTCCCTGAGATATGTCCATGGCTTAATCCCCTTACTTCTTTTAGATTGCTATACAAATATAACCTTATCCAAGAGGCTTTTCCCAACCCCTTATGTAAAATATCACTTCCACAATGGTATCACCCTTTATCCCTTTACCCTGCTTTATTCTTCCTTAAAGCACTTATCACCACCTGTCATATTATACATTTGTCTTTTTACTGTCGATAGAAGACACTCTCTTTTAGCAAATACTTTGTCTCTTTTGTGCACTACTATACCCTTAAGAGTTCAGAACTGTGTCTGGCACAGCTGGCTGAATGAATGAGTTCATCTCAATTCCCTTTTACTCTCCTCATATGAATATCTCATAGTGAGTATGTACTGAGTATGAACTTAGAATTTAAACCTGAGTAATTTTCATTAAATGTGTGATACCTAAATACAAGCTAACTAAAGTTATTTCATCAAGTACATAATCTATTTCAATGCAGGAAGAAAAGATGGCCATGTTAGATGTTTTAAACTCCCCAAGTAAAAAGCAACATCATAGAAAAACTAACTAAATGGGTAATGAATTAAGTACCTAGTACCCCTCAAATAAAGCCAGACTTGCTCAGTTAAGACATTTGCTCATAATCATCTGGGTATTAGTACTCTTGTATCAAAATAAACAAGAGCATACTCATAAAGTATAATGAGTATTTCTGCCTATCCTAATCAAATGACTTCAGGTATATTAACTTAAGTAGACATGGCATTAGGTTACAGGCCTTGGACAATATTAACCTTCTGGCAGGAATAGGTTTTTTTAAGAACTATAATTAAAAATGAGCTCTCCAATGATAAAATGGCTTAGGATGTCCACTAAAAACTTATTTAGTATTTCATACTCTGAATAGTGAAACAAATTTTCAAATCCGAATGAGTCACAGATTCCTATAAATGGCCTTCACTACACTGAAGCACTATAGGTTTAGGATTTGCCTATGCTTCTCTCTCTAAAAATAAGTCCAGGCAGGAGATATATACTTAAAGAAAATTACAGTAGTCATAAAACTAAAATTAACATAGTGAGAGCAGGCCAACACAGTGAGAGCAGGCCAAATTATCTAAAGAAAATCTGTAACATCATTTAATTTTCCTCAGCAGTAAATTTTATATCAGATCCTAGAGTTACCAAGCAAAGGCTATCCATAAAACAGGATGCTAATCTACAGCAATGACATAGAAAAATAAAAAGGTTTTGATATCTAAAGTTCTTTAATAAAAGAAAAATGTTTAACCATTCAAGTGTTTTTAGTGCAATTCCACTTTAATAGTAAATTATCTAAGGCAGAGCATTTAATCTGCAAATCTGAAGGTCTATAAACCTGAGAGATGTTAATTTCAACCAGAAAAATCAATAACCACCACCAAACTTAGTATTCTTAATGTATAAAAAAATGAAGTTATTATCATTTACTTTTAAGAACAATGAATTCATTAATTCTTTTTAACTATAAACAGAAATTTATTGTAACCTAGCCTATAAATGCTCACCTCCTTGCTTACAAACAGCTCATAGTAAGTCGTTCTTTGGAACAGAATAAACAGCCTGAGCTCCAAGAAGGAGTCACACAGCACTACAGTGCCATTTTTCTCAGGCCCTGCTGCAAAGCTTTCTTGTTTTAGAGAACCATGCACTAGACAAGAACAAAAGACAGGAATATTTAACTGCTCAGATAGATAAATATGTAAGAGGTGCTTTATTTCCAGACAAAGTTTCAAATTAGAAGTGTGGCTAGAGGGCAAACTACAACTTCCTCTGGGAACTGTGAATTAACTTCTCACTGTCACAGACTCCCCTTGCTACTTACAGTTACTGGCCCACAAGGTACCTCACCCCCTCTCCCCTAAGGACTCTCGCACTAATGAGTAGAGTAAGACCACAATGTATGTTGCTAACCACCCAGTAATTGGAAAACACTCTCTTCTTTTCCTTTCCCAACACACACACACACGCACTCACTCTCCTCTTCCCTCCCTCCAAGCTGAGAATAAAAATAAAAAGGGCAAGGAACAACACAAATGACTCCATGAAAGCAGTTTATGTATGGCTGAACACAATGTACAGAGCTCAGGAGAGTTCTATGTACAACTCAAATAAGAACTGTGGCACAAGCATTAAAGTAAGAAACACAAACAGGTAGAAAACACAAGTAAAAGTCACTTACTGTGTATCATCTTCAAGTCATAAAGTTTTGCACTTAATAGATCTTCTCTTAGGACTTTTTTCCTGTAAACATCAATAAAGAGGTGAAATAATCAAGAGAAAACTGTCATTTTGCCCATTTATTTTTAATTCATTGCATACCAAAATGAAATCTATTATGCACTGAGTTTTAAATTCTAGCAAAGAAAGCATGACTAGCTGCCACTCTCCACTTCACTGACTTACAACAGAGGTCTACTACCAAGAAACAACATACCATCACAATCCCTTTCCCTGGAACTGGTAGAAAGTATGTCAGTTAAGACACCTGCTCATAATCATCTGGGTATTAGTACTCTTGTATCAAAGTATACAAGACTTTGCTATGAGAAAGAGAGGGGTGTCAGAGTTTTACTGCTTTAGAAGGGAGAGGCAACACTGAATGGATATCATCTAAGTGCTGGAGAGACTAGGCATATGCAGTAAGACTGAATGGGAGGAATGCTAAAAACATCCCAAAGACTCCACAAAGAATGTACTGTAAATATCCACTAGCTGACAGATTTTCCACCTTGGGAGAAATCATCAAGGGTCTGACTTGGTGGGCAAAAGCAAATTATTATTTTGCATCTGTTATTTCCCTATACCATCTCCCTAGCACAAATCCCTGAGAAAAAGCAGTTAAGCATGTGGACTACCTCAGCTGGATCAGACCCACCGTATGGACCTGTTATAGGAGATGATCACCACGCTCTCAGCAAGAGCCAAGAGAACTGAGGGAATTCTGAGAAAGCACAAAAAAGCATATCCATGACATTGTCACAGCCAGTGATAGAAGTTGTAGCAAGAATGAAGCTAGCAAAAGGCATTTCTTCATAACGCCTGGGAAAAGTGTGCTAATCTACTATGTAAACATCAACGCAAGAATCAAAGGTGACTCACATACAGTTAAAAGGAAACGTAAATAAAATTTGTTCTAATGCAGGTATTAACTTGGGTCTATAGGCAGGCTTTTGGAGAGGGTATTCTATGAATTCCTTAGACTCATATACAAAATTTTATCTGTACGTATGTTTTATGACATGTTTTTCTGGCAGAAGATGTCTATAGCTTTCTTCAGATTCTCAAAGTAGTCTTTAACTTTCCAATAGTCAAGATCTAAAGATCTAGGGTGTTATAAATTTGTGGCATGATTCAATAAATCTCAGGGACTACTGTCAACTCCTTTGGTAACTAAATAAATTTACTCTCCTAAGAAATTAGTATTCTGATTAAATGTACTTATGAATCATAGATTTAATTATGAATTTGACAATATACTGACTTAAGAATACAACTTTTGGACAGCTCTAAATATATTTCGGATTAAAATGGGCTTAAATTTTAAATATATTAGAACAAGTTATTTTAAGTATTAATAATGAATTAATTTCCAGTATACTACTAACTCAATTTAGTTAAAAAAATATGTTAAACACCTATTATACTCAAGTACTAAGCACTGTATTTCTAGGCAATTTTGTTTTAACAATAGCAGTTAAAGAAACAAATCCAAATATGTTAAAAAATTTTTTAAAACATAAACATTTGTTATAGTAGGTAGCAAGTTCCTGCTACGATACAAAGAAGCAAAATGAGAAAGATACTAAGTAGTTTCAATTAATAATTGTCTCAGGCAAATGCTGTGCTCTATCATTAGTTACTTTCTACTTCTTGTCCACAAATACTAGAGCAGTGCCACAAGATTGTGGTCTGTGCACCAGGGCTTATCCATTATTGGTTTGTGAAATGTACAAAAAGGAGTAAGCATTCAGAAAATTTCATAGCAATTTTACACTGCTGTAACATTTTTATTTTACAAAAATACTGATCTAAAATAGATAGAAAAAAACTAAAAAAAAAAAAACAATTTGTCAAAGATAGAGCTCAAATTATATTCTTAGATTTCAGCTGATCCTTTCTTATATTAAGCGTGTGCTTTAAAAGTGATTAAATACATTTAAGCCCCACATAACTTAAAAACAAAAAGAGAACTCTTTTTTTTTTTTTTTTCGCTAGCTATTTCCTGGTTCTACACGTTTGTATTCCACTTCTAAAGTTCACCACTAACCTCATACAGCTTTTAGAATTTTCATGATAGGAGAGTTGTTTCTTAAAAGAGCTTTCATTTTTCTTGTCTTTTGTTCCTCTCACCTGTCTTTTTACTTGAACCTATGAGAAAAGCAAAATCACCTATTTAGAGTGACAATCCAGCATCACAAATGATACCTATTCAAATCTCCCTTGAAAGGATAAAAACTTAAAGAAACAAAATTGTCTGAATGAAAGTGTAGCCGAAACACATATGCTTATTCATTCAAGCATGCTAAACCACAGGGGAAACAAAATAGTAAGAGACAGGCATATATATAAACAGATTAAGTGCTCATAACAGACATGAGCAGAGACCTTGTTCCCATGTAGGACTGAGAAATTAATTCTTTTTGAGGATATCAGAGAAGACTTTTGTGAGTAAATGATTTATAAGTTGGTCTTAAAGAACGAGGAGAAATTTGTCTAAGAAAAAAATATTCTAAATGGAAGAAAGAACAAAGCTACAAGGAACAGTGAGAAGCCACTGCAGATGGGAAAGAAAAGATTAGTAGGATGTGAAGCTGATGTATCAGGACCAATTGTAAAGGGCCTCTACAGGAATCAGACAGTAAATGGAGTTTTTAAAGTGAATGAGATGATCAAATTTATTTTTTAGGATAACTTTGGCAATGATGTGGAGAATGAATCAGTTAAGGAGAGACTATAAAAGCCAAGAAATCAGAAGAAGAAAGTTCCTACAATAGTCCAGATCTACATTGTCAGACAATAGTCACTAGCCACACGTGGCTACTGAGCACTTGAAATGTGGCTTGTCTGAATTGAGATGTACTGTAAATTTAAAATATACACTGGATTTCAAAGACTTAGAACAATGACAAAAAAAGGTGAAATCTCTCAATAATAATTCTTTAAAAACATTCTATGTTGAAATAATACATTAGATATACTGGATTAAATAAAATATAAAAATTTGTTTCTTTTTACTCTTTTAATGTGGCTACTAAAAATCTTAAACTGTAGAGTGACTTCTGCTATACTTCTATTGGCAGAAGCAGACTAGATGACAGCATAGGGGCCTACAAAGAGGTAACAGCAGAGGAATGGAGAAGGAACAAATTTAAGACACTGCCCAGAAGGAACAGGCAAAGATGAGGAAGAGAGAAAAAATGGAAAACTCCCAGATGAGTTCTGGATTTGTTAATGGTTAGATTTATTTGGTATTCTAGATGGAGATGTCCAATAAGTGGTTGAAAATACAAGTCTGGTTCTAAGGAAAGACATCTGGGCTACTAACAGAATTGTATAAGACATAGAAATGTAGGTAGTGATTAAAGTTACTGAAGTAGTTGAGAAGACTTAGGGAGAAAGTATAACCAAAGAATTGAAAGGAAGATCCCATGAGGAGCCCCAATGATTTAAGAAAAGGGAAGGGGGGCAAGGACATGGCAAAGAAGATTGGAAAGGTCAGATAAGTACATACACACATACATACCTACATAGGTACATAAATATGTACATACGTAAATACATACATACCCATAAGAGAAGGATGTCCTAGAAGCCAAAGGAAACAAAGGATAGTCAACAGCATTACATGCAGAAAACAAACCGTGAGATTGGCCAGTCAGAAGATTACTCTGGACCTTAGTGAGGACAGTTTTAGTAACATAAAATGATAGAGGCAAATGTTCAATGGGAGTTGAAAGGTAATTGAAAAAAGGGAGTAAGCAAGTATAGATGTCTCATTGAAGTTTAGTTGTAAAGAGAAAAGAACAATAAAAGTAAAAATTTAAAAGAACTAAAGGTCAAAGGATGATATTAAGAGTATGTGGATAACGTCATATATGATAAGAAATACCTTTTAAGTTTGACAAAATTAGAAACACCAAACACCCAACTTTTAATTTAAGTAAAATACAAACCACCCTATTAAATAAAATGTAAATTTTTATTCCAAGCAACAGAACAACATTTTACAGGGAAATATCTTTGGAAGCTAGTTCATGCTAATGAAATTTTAGCAACATAATATATACATGATCTGGAAAAACAGAGAACAGTTGTCTTTCAGAGAACTCATGCTTTAATTTTGATTATAATTTCACATATTTATATAATGTTATAGCTTTTCTTCAAGATATATACTAATTTGCATAAATGTCCACAGTTACAATTATAACAAGCAAAATCATTTTTACACATGTGATTTTATTCCAATTGTGGCCTCATCTATACTTTATGTCAGGGAGACTCATCTGGTAAAAATATATCAAAACAAATTATAAATACCTACACTGAGAACATCTATGCTTAAATAGTTGTATGTTGCTTCCATACCCTGTCCTACTCACATAGACAGCAACCAAGCTGTCGTGGACCTATAATGCTACCTGGGAACAGTTTGTTTTTCCCATCAATGGCATCACGTATGTACATACTGACTATTCTCATTTTTAGCTATATATCATTTGTGACTTGTTAGTGATATCTTAAGAAATCTCCTTCTCACAGATTAACTACTGACTATCCTTTTTGCCTTTTACTCATTAATTCAGGAATAGGTTCCTACTTCTTTTTTCCTTCTTTTATTTTTAAGCCAAAAATAAATGTGAATACAAATCATAATCATGGTTCATAATCACAAGTAGCATCAATGAAGTTATGTGTATGTGCATCTCATGGAAGTGATTAGGGTTAAGCATTACATTAAAATTGTACTTAATAAAGTCATCTCCCCATGCCAACCCTGACCCTGTGAGAAGTCCCTCTCAAGATCTCCACAAACCCCCTTATCCTTCTGCAATTAAACTCAGTCTCCTTCAAGTACAGCATTTAAGAGCAAAGACACCATTTTATATTTAACTTCATTGGCTTAATCTTCTCAACATTGTAATGTTTTTCATGAAAACATAATTTTCAGTTATTCTGGACTTAAGTTTTTGTGGGCATTGGTCTTTGCATCTAATACTCCATTTCAAACATTTTTTTCAATGGAAAACTGTATTCAAAGTACTATCCAATTAACAAATGTTTTTGAAATACAGAAGTCCTCATGCTAAAAATATTTTAAAAATTTAAATATCCTGTAATTAAGACAATGTGAAACTTCTTTTAGAGCATCAGAGATCTAACACATTTCATGGAAAATCATAAGGTGACCACCATGGATATGTCCTCTGTAGGGGGCAAAGAAAAAAAGGTTCAGAATTTCTGTATTCTTATAGAAAAGACTGGGCTTGTTAGGCTGAGGAGGAATGATAATCACATATTAAACGTTACTGAACAATTCACAAATATACTCAAACTGGAAATCTATTGAAGCAAAATCGTCTCCAGTAAGTTTACACAGTTCATGTTGCAAAATAAAATCTAAGCCTTACCTTAACACAACCTTCCAATGCACTGAATTTAAACACTGTCTGAAAAGGTTTTCGGTCAATAGGACATGAAGCCAGTGTCTGAAAAACAATTAACAAATTAAAACTTTACAAATGTTTCTTGGATAGATCAAAATTAAACTACAGCAAACACATTTATAAGTTTTCCACCAGAACAGGAAACGGTAGAAAAATAACTTTTTCTTCTTTCCAAGATAAAGATGAAATACTTTCCACCTGTATCATGCCACAAAGTACTAAGTACCTTAAATTTGTTTAATTCATTCAAACATTTATTGAGCAACTGCTATATGCTAGATGAGTGGAATACTATAATGAACAAGAGAGATGAGATCTGTTATCAAGATAATACCTATTAAGACCTGCTCACCCAGTTGAGAACTACTGGTATAATGAAATGAGAGCCGGGCTGAAACCAATAGCTGCAATCTAAAGCACCAGGGCAATTATAAACCAGCTGTAAAAGGAATGGCTTGGACAGGTCCCTTACAGGTTTCAATATACTATGACTTCATATTTTCCCCCAAATTAATTATTTTGAAAAGGCAGTCACACCAGCAATAAAAAAATTTTTAAAGATATGAAGAAAATGAAGGATTCCTTCACTCTTCTCCTCAGCCACCTAGATGCCCTCTCCATAAGTAGTTTCTTATATATCACTTTGGAGATATCCAATGCATATACACACATATGTGTACCTTTCTAATGTACAATTAATTCACATGCTGAACTGAATTTTGTTTTTCTTTTATACACCTTAGATTGATTCATATTACTATTTCAGAGCTGCTCCATTCTTAATAGCATGGTATGCTCTAATAGTTTTAAGTTACATTTCCTTTGATATGAGTATGGTTGAACATATTTTCATATTTTTAAGGGCTATTCAAAGTTCTTGTTCTTTACAATGTCTATTCATGCCCTTTGCATAACTTTTTAGATTAGATTGCTGGTCTTTTTCAAATTGAATTGGAGGCATTCTTTATAGATTAAGGAAAATTGTCCTTTAATCACTCTGTGATTCTCAATCAACTTTATTTTGATATAAATATATTTCTTGTACTTTCAAAATTAATGTGCATCAACTATAATTAAGATTTTCTCTGATAATACTATTAAATATTTATATGTGAATGGATTTACACTATTTAAATAATTTAAAATGGAGCATACTGTCTACTAGGGTAGGAAAGAAGATTCTGTAGCCAATGAAGAAAATACCAAAAGGTGATATTATTAATACTTACAGTTATAAAAGTAAAAAAAGGATTTTAATAATTTAATAGCAATAGTCTAAAAGACCACAAGATAGTAACGGAATTTTGATAAATTATCTTATATTCCCTAGTGAAAAAATGTTGTGATTTTTGCCTTTCTGGACTTTGGTACATATCAAGATACGCTTATACAAGTACAGGTAGCTCAGACTGTGTACGGCCCTTGATCATATAATACATTTTCACAAAGCTCATGAGTCACTTTGAGAGCAGCTAAAATATAAAATGAGCTACTTTTACTCTCTGCTAAAAAGTGATTTTTCTTTTCCTGTTAAGTAAGTAGGCCTTGAGAAAATGCTTCACCATACCTGTATCAGGAAATGTGACCTCTTACTATATTAAATTGGTTCAGAGTAGTAGAAGCCAGCTCAGCTTATTCCCAAGTACTATGGATTTAGGGTGCTATTACTTTACCTACAGAAAACTTGACCTTAAGAAGCTTTATTATAAGTAGGACAAAGGTGTCCGCATCTTTATAATAATGTATTGCAAATAGTCATTCTAGCTCAAAGAACTCAACACAGCAACTATGTGATTGCTGTTTACCACATTAGCATTTATTGTTTGAAATTTCTTAGACCAGAGGTTATATTAACACATCTGTAATTCAAAAGAATACTTAAATGTAAAACTTCGAAGTACTTCTATTTTTACCAGTTTCAACATACATTTTTATTTCTATTTTAAAGGAAAACTTAGATAAATATTCATAAAAAGATAAAATAATAAATCAAAATTTGTTTCCTTCAACGTCTTTTAAAAATGACTAAGATAAATGTGTACAGGCTCTAGATTTACTGTCTACTTTCCTATCTTCTCCTTGTGTGCAACCTTGAGCAAGTTATACAGTCATTTTGAGTCTCAGTTACCTTATCTGTGAAAATGGGGATAATAACAGAACTTATCTCTAAAGTTTTTATGGGAATTAATCTTAGAAGAGTGTGTGGCACATGAAGTCTTCTAAATACCAACTAGCTTCACTGCACTAACAATAAAAAAGCTTGGTTCATTAACAAAAAGATAACCCACAATATGATGTATACATACAAGTGAGAGACATGAGTTCTTAATGATTTTTTGTTGGAATTTGTAAAATTCATGACATATATGGAAATTAAAGTATTTCATTTTATTACATCTATTTCAATTTGTAACACTTACTAAGATCCAAAGAAAGCCACTGTGTTCAAGAAATTTACTCTATTATCAGATGCAGTGAATGTTTCAAAAACTCAAATTATACAATCTCATTTTCTTCTTTATTAAATTTCCTCTGTTGACATGAGCTAAATGGCACTCTTTCCTTTACAATGTTCAAATGGACAGGGTTTTAACCTGAGCCATTCTATTTTGATCTGTTTCAAATAATGTGGTCCTGAGTAAGATTTTGTTTGTTTTTTTTCCCTTAAGCATAACTGCTATAGATTTGTTTAAGGTTGCATTTGAAGAAAGGGTTCCACTGCTATTATAAAAACAGGAAAAAAGTAGTAGTAGTCAGAAAACCATTGCTATATATTATCACAATCTGTATATACTTACATTTCCTAAAGATAATCTAGTTAGCACTAGAAAATACATTAATGGATTTTCTCTGGCTCAGGCTCAGCCATCAGAAATAGTTTTTAAAACCAAGTTATCCTCCCCAATTAAGGAAAGCACAGATCATAAAACAAGCTACCTACAGTAGACAAAATATCTTTGCTATGGTGACTGAGAAATGATAATATCCATTTCTGACCTTAAAACAGTTTAGCAAGCATTTCAAATGGGAAACAAATGAAATTCACTTATCCTGAGTCTTCACAGCATACTTCAATAAATTAAGAACGACTAAAGAAGAATTTAATGAAAAAAATCAAGAGATTTTTAAAAATTAAGTGGATCTTTAATTTTTTAATTAATGCATACTGTAAGAAAAGTGTAAGGCTTACTTTTAACACATGACAAAGTTCAAAGACACCATCATTAATAGGTACTAAAGCATAAAATCACACACAATGTGATCAAATAGCTTGAATAGAAAAGCTTTACAAATAGGTTTTAAAAAACGGTTTGCATTGGCCTAATTTTAAGGCATTCTCAAGGGTACCACACCCTTATATCAAGCAGATAGCCATTCAGAAAATCTCAAAGGTATTTTGATGTTAGTTTTCAGAGTCTGTATCACTAAAATAACTAGTTTTTAAGTTGTGTGGTTTTAAAAATTCACACTTAAAACTAGTGTAGAAAAATTAAAAAATTTCTTTTTGCTGAGGAAGATTAACCCTGAGCTAACATTCATGCCAATCGTCCCCTATTTTTTAGTATGTGGGCCACCAGCACAGCGTGGTTGCTAACAGAGCGGTGTAGGTCTATGCCCAGGGAACCCAACCCAAGCCAGTGAAGTGAAGCGTGCTGAACTTAACCACTATGACACCAGGCATGGCCCAGAAACTTTTTAACTAAATACTTATTCTGCTTAAAAGCGTGATTTTAGTTTTGAAGAAAATTATCCCACATTTTCTGTTTTCCTCATACACAACAAAAACAAATGCCCCTTGATGACTGATCATTTTGAGTCCTCATATACAACAAAATACCCTTCAATTACTCCCCTATTTAAATCAATGACTTTCATTTCAATAACTTTTTAATTATCTAATTTAATTAGTTTCATAATCAAAGTAGTCCAATATCATGTGACTTTGTGATACAGCTTTAAAATTAACAGAATTTGATCACTGCTTTACAATGTAATACGTATCTATTAAAAAACAGAGCATACCTTTTACTGTGAATGCTCTCTACTAAGATTATATGAGATAAAGAGGCAATTTTGATATAAAAAAATAATCTTCCTAATGATTTCAGTAAAACATACCCTAGTATTTTGACGCGTTGCAAATTCCCAGCTCAGACAAACCCATATTTAAATGTAAGAACAGGAAACCTTTCTTATCTGGGAATTCAGGATTCTTGATTTCTAATATTTCTTGCTTCCTGCTGCTGCTCTATCCTCAATCACAAAGGCTGCCTACAGATAGTCCCTCCTAGAGAGAGAGAAGCAAGTGTTAAAGGTAAGTGCTTAAAGACTAAATCTCAGTAACTATGCTTATAGGTAGGTCTGTCTGTGCAGGGGAATCTTTAAAACATCTCTCTCTCCTACTAACAAATAGAGCACACTGTATATAAAACTGCAGTTCAGAATCAAATAAAGATGATTTAGGAATGCATACCAACAGAGGTTGATGCTTATTTTAAAGCTAATCACCAGGACCTATCCTTTCTCATTGATGGTTCCAAGATACCTAGCCTGGACCTCCAAAGAAAGTGCTCACCTGTAGTCAGCCTACATGTTCCCTATCAAATTTAACCAGTTCTTTCAAGACAGTCCTTGTCAATCCATGTTAGTGAAACTGTGGTTCTTTATAACAGCTTTTAGGAATATATTCCTAAAGGACAAATGGCTATCAGAGACAAAATTAACACCAAGGAAGTATCTTATCTAAGTACTCAAAAAGAACACTTCATCTTCTCAAAGATACATCACAATAGATGAGTAGAAGTACCTTTAATCTTAATTTCTTGTGACATTTAAGACTTTCTTTTTCTAATATATATAAAAAAATTTCCGTAAACTACCTGCATAAATCATTTTACAAATCCTGACATCTAAAACTGGGCTATACAGAAACACATTAATTTGCTCAACTGGTAAAAATAGAACATTAAGTGAAAATCTATTACATACATACTTTAGGTAATGAGTCTTCATAATGTAAAAATATTCTTTGCTGTACCAAAGGTTTTATCAAAGGATTAATCCACAGGGTGAAAACAAGAGAGGATTTGGAACAGTTAGTCACAAACTCAAGTTCTGGAGGAGTCAGAACTAGCAAGCTGTCGAACCCACTTTCAGCATAAAGACAGACAGCCCTGAATCACGTATTGCACATGTTGTAATAATTAAATGAAATAATGTATTTAACAATGCTTTATAAATTATAAAGATAAGGACTAATAATAGTGCTCCACAGATATGTTTAAATTACTGTTCCAGAGAAGTACATAACCGAGAGGTTTGGTTTAGTTCAGGAATAAAGAAAAATAAAAATTTTAGGAAAAACTGATTGAAAAAAGCCAGACAATAAAGCTTGGCTTATGGTATTGAAAAGCAGTCTAATCACCAGAATCTCTACTCAAGGAACATCTGTATATAAACCACATTAGTAGTCAAGATATAAGTCAATTAGTCATATTTTGATTTTTTGATATGTATTGTTAATTCATAAATACACTCCTCACCTGTCTGCATTGAACACTGTTGCTGACTTCTTTAAGAACTGTATGCCACCATTAGTAAGACTCTCTGTATTTCTAGGCTCATGAGAGAAATATACCTTTGCCAACTGCCCAATTTTGATTTCGTTAATCTTACTTTCTCAAACTGCAGCTATAAGCATTTGATATGAAATGGAGGACTGACATAAATAAGTGGAGGGAGGATAATTTGCTTATACTAGGAAAGCTAATCACATCTTTAAAAATTATTAAAAGATAAGGGAAATACTTTATATTACTTCAAAGATAAAAGAACCCTGGAGGATATGAAGAAACTCCTAATCACATATATTGCCTGACCCTTTAAATAGAGTAAAAAACTCTTAAATGCTTCAAGTATAAAATGCTTCCAAGTCCTCAAACTAACCTTTTAAGGGTCAAAATTTTAACCACTTCTTGGCAACCTGCCAAATTATAAATCCTACCTTTTTAACTAGTGTTATGTATGGGGGGGTGTATCTTATTACCTACAGGGAATCATAATTACGATCAGCTGTTGCGACTACAGCCATGTGTCAAGACTTCTCTAGCCTTCACCTTACGAATTACCTTCAACTTTAAAATGTGCAAACTCAGATGATCTAGGTTAAACTTACGTGCAAATTAAAAACTCTCAATATGTTTAGACTGTGTTTTTGCTCACAGTATAGGTAAAATAAATAACTTTGAGTGGCTGGTAAACTTTAGTGTTTGGCTCTATACATATGTCCTCAGTTCAAAGGCCTTCTTTAGTTTTGGATTCTCAGCTCTAATACTATTTTAAATTAACAAAAATCTCAACTTTCCTTAAGTGTCAATTACTGTGTCTTTGTTTAGTCGAATATCTTATTTCTATATAATCATTATAATTTCATAAACCAACAGGCTTACCATCTATAAGTTCCTTGAAACTAAACATAGTCATAGTGGACATGCTTAGTCTCAATTTGTTCTAGTGTCCCCAAGGGTAGGCAGTTACACCACGGGCCATGAAGGCCACGACAGCTTCCATTATCCTGAATCTTTTTGCCCTAAGTAAAGTGGATTCTATAAAATATCTAGAGACTAAGTTCAATTACTTAGTCAATCTAAAGTCCTGACATGGCTTTTGTTTTAAATAACCAGAGAACAAAAATTTTAGAGCTTGAAGAGATTGAAACTAACTTTGACTTTGGATATAGATATTTTAAGAGCATGAAAAATTTCAGGAATGTCTCCAAAATAAATATACTAGACAACTATATACCTTAATTTTACTTGTTTCTTAAAGAGCAGAATTTCTTCAATGCCTAAAATATTAAGACGAAAGTAAATAAATGAGTCCTCCTTTTTGGTTCTTGACATCTACTCTGAATCATATTTCACTGAACCTGGAGTAAAAATCTCAGATAGCTCAGGTGAATTTCTGAAACACACATAAGACTAGGAAGATGATCCTGAATACATTTTGTACTATTTTCTTATTATGTAGATTTCCAACGACTGTAAATCTCACTTTGATTTCTACCTTTGTACTAGAAGTGAACATTAGCAATTTTTTTTTTTTTTTTTTTTTGCTGAGAAGATTAGCCCTGAGCTAACATCTGTTGCCAATCTCTCTCTGTTTTTTGCTTGAGGAAGATTAGCCCTGAGCTAACATCTGCGCCAATCTTCCTTCAGTTTATATGTGGGTTGCTGCCACAGTATAGCCGACTAGTGGTGTAGGTCCACAGCCAGGATCCAAACCTGTGAACCCAGGCTGCCAAAGCAGAGCACACCGAATTTAACCACTACAGTACCGGGCCAGGCCTGTAAAATTTTAAACTATGGACCACTTTTTAAAAATTACTTTAATTTCAAGCTATCCCTTGAGGTATTTGGAAACAAATTAGAGTTCAAATTCCTGCCTTGAATATCAAATAAACATTACCATAGTGATTTGAATGAAAGAATATGTAAGAAAGCTTTAGCATGGGGCCTGGGGCCAGTTAGGAGACTGAATACAGACACTTACTGCTAATTCTGAAATCCAAAGTAAACTACATGTCTCTCTTTAAAAACAGAAAGGGACTGTGAAAGGAAAATGCGAGGAGAGACCTTAATAACTAATGGCCATGAAAAAAAAACCACTAGTGAATCTGAAATCTGGTTCTATTTTTCAAAGCAAATATATAATTCAAAACACATCTAATTTTTATCATACCAATAAAAAGACTCAAACTGAAAATTTAGTTCAAGGCCTATGTGATTTTGTTAACAAGTATTCACTTACTATTTATAATGAACAATTTATTAGTAGACTGTGTTCTTGTTACTGCTCAACGGTTTATTTAACTGATGGCTGCCATCCCCATTAGCAACAATGAAATAATTCAGAATATTCTCTGCTTACTCTCCACTTTCAAGGTTAACTATTTTGTTTAAACAATACCACAACTCCCCGCTCCACCCACCACAATTTACGGTAGGTATAGCAGGTAAGTATGTACTTTGTTTTAAAGGCAATCTTCAACAAAATGTTTGTTATCCAAAGGAGTTAACACAAAAGAAGGAAAATATTACATGCAAGAAAGGTGTTGACTGCAACATGATTATGTTAAGTATTTTCAACTTAAAAATATTCAACAAGAGTTAAAAACATAGATAAATTTAACACTGTCTAATAGAGATGAATATGTGCATAGTGTACAACCTAGTAGTTTCACTTGTAGATACATATCCTAGAGAAACCCGGAACACGTACACCATGTTAAAGCTTATGGTTGTGTGAAAGATGCATGGAGAGTGTAAGGAAGGATGGAGAATGATATCTATTTTATACATTCCAATTTTCATAGAGAAAAATACATATTCAAATTATGTCGTTGAACCTCACAATGTGGTCACTGAATGCAATCTTATGAAAAGCACTGAATTGAAACTTTCTACCCAACCAGTAATACTGCTTCTCTACCGAAAGCAAAATCTCCTCTACTTTTAAAATATTTAATCACAAAGCAAATGAACGTGCACTAAATTCAACACAGACGAAATCTTTAGTTGGGTGGCAGAAAAAATTATGCATTCTTATTTCACTAGTTAATGCTACTGCAAACACATAGAAATTTACAATTATATTAAACTCAAAAAGCTATCTCCTCAAAATAAATTTTCAGCTATCCTTAGTCCCTTCTTGCCAAAGACCACTCTAGGTGTTAAGCTAATTAGAACTGTTTCCAAGTATACAATTATGAATTTGACTGGTATTACAAATTTTTTTTTTCTCTTCCCAGAACTCAGCCACAGAGTTTGTATACAGTTATCTCCTTCTTTCCACACTGTTAACGAAAATATAAGTAAAACAAAGAACTCTGGGGGCTGGCTCCGTGGCCGAGTGGTTAAGTTCGCACGCTCCACTGCGGCGGCCCAGGGTTTGGATCCTGGGTGCGGACATGGCACCACTCGTCAGGCCACGTTGAGGCAGCGTCTCACATCCCACAACTAGAAGGACCTGCAACTAGGACATACAGCTATGTACTGGGGGGGTTTGGGAAATGAAGCAGGAAAAAAAAAAAAAAGGAAGATTGGCAACAGTTGTTAGCTCAGGTGCCAATCCTTCAAAAAAAAAAAGGAAGATTGGCAACAGTTGTTAGCCTAGGTGCCAATCTTTAAAAAGAAAACAAAAAAAAACCCCAAAAAAACACAAAGAACTTTGAAAACCCCAATTATGTAATAAGCAATTAATTCCAATGTGCTCATGGACAAACAATTTGAATGCAGCTAATATTAAAAATATTTTTGGGATTTATCTCCTTCACTAATTTTTACACATTGACAAACTACTAACTCAGAAAATACAGCATGATTAATATGACAAACAACAAATTTTTACTGCACAATTCATAACAATGGGGCTTTATAATGAATATTCAATGTACCAGTACCATGATTTACTTGGCCCGAATTGAATCAACATAATACATTAAAAGTCAAAAATGTCCTGTCTCTTAACCATTTACTATGTATGAGGAACCTCAGTAATAATCTCTAACTCAGACTCTGAAATTAGTTCACACTGAATTAAAAACAGGAGTTAGAAAATACTGTTCTAAATTCAATTCTGCCTCTTAAGCTAAGAGACCTTGGGACCAAGTCACAGAACACGAAATCCAAGTTTCCTCATCTGTAAAACGAAACGATACTATTACATCTGCTCTGATTATCCCACAAGGCTGACATAAAGAAGAAATCAAATAACCTATGTAAAAATTACCTGAAAAATATAAAACACAAAGCAGAAAGAAGGTGTTATTAATAGTAGTGAACAGATATCCCAAGGGGGAGAAGTACATTGAAGATGAATTACTGCATTTCTACTAGAAAAAATACTTAATCTGTTATTCCTATAAAGGTTAAGGTTTTTGTTTTTTAAAAAGGTATGCATCTAAAATTTTTTAACTATAAAAGAATAGAAAGATGAATAAAAGAAAATTAGAAGGAAATATACTGACAGAATTTGAATAATACAGAGAAATTTGTCTAAAGCAAGGGGAAAACACGTTTCTGTGAAATAATTTATGAAAGGCAGTATCAACTCTTTAGACTAGGTGGAATGAAATCATGCTGGGGAATTAAAGTACGATAATATTAAATACTTATTCTCAGACTCACCTCTGCCCATTTAAGAATACAGGTCATGCAGAAGACATGATTACAGCTTTCTGGAAAACCAACTTCCTTCTCTAATAGGCAATTAAGACATATTGGACATCTGTCAGCTTCGCTGTACAACAGACCAGTGGTAGCAGTATTATCTTTGTTTTCTTCACCTATAAAGCAAAGCAGTCATATATGCTTTCAAGTTCTCCAGACCAAATGACTCATGTTTGTGGCAGTATCATGGAGTAGATACTCTAAAATACCCTCCTACTACAAAGTAATTAGATCTTAGATACATTATAACAAACATACTGCTTGAGCACAATGTTCCCAACATTTACTAATTTATATTTTTTAATGGGAGAGGGAAAAAATTTCTTCATGAATTTAATTTTAAAAGAATAGTCACATGCTTCAAAAATTTAAAAGTAAAAAAAGTTATAGTGACAAATCTCCCACTCACATCTACCCCATTCATCCAGTTGTGCCCAACACAACAAGTAGCAACTGTTTAGTTTCTTCTGTGTTCTTCCAAGATTTTCTTTTTTTTTTGAGGAAGATTAGCCCTGAGCTAACATCCGCTGCCAATCCTCCCCTTTATGCTGAGGAAGACTGGCCCTGAGCTAACATCTGTGCCCATCTTCCTCTACTTTATATGTGGGACACCTGCCACAGCATGGCTTGACAAGTGGTGCGTAGGTCCACAGCCGGGATCCGAACTGGCGAACCCCTGGCCACCCAAGCAGAACATGCGAACTCAACCACTGCGCCACTGGGCTGGCCCCCCAAAGATTTTTTTTAATGCAAAGACAAGCAAATCTTAATACATATTCTTTCAAAACTCCTTCTTCACACAAATGCTAGAACACCATACACACTAGTCTGTATTTTTTTTGTTTCAACCTATTGATGGACATTCACTTGTTTTCAATCTTTGGCTATTACAAACAATGCTGCAATAAAAACCTTGTCATTTCACATTTTTAATAGTACATTTACAGGATAAATTCCTAAAAATGAAATTGTTAGATCAACGTGTACGTACATTTGTAATCTGAACAGATACTGCCAGATTATACCCACTGGAGTTTGTACTAATTTAAATGCCCATCAGCAACATAACCAACATACAAAAGTATGCATTGCAGGCTTAAAAGTAAGTAAGAGAAACTGCAAGATTCAACATAAAATAAAACAAAAACAAAGAAATGGTCAGCTGAAATGTGAACAGCATACACCAAGAAAATGGAAAAGCTGAGATTGTCCTGGAAGCAAATAGTCCATACTAGTGTTCAGATCTGGAGACTAACCCTTAGGACCAACCTACGTAGGGAAACAGATCCTGAGAGATTCCAATTTTAAACCAAGACCCTCAAACGGGGCTAATGTGGTCCTAGCATGGGTTCAGGAAAAAGCAAACACAAATCCTTTGGGAGAAAGCATCCTTAATTTAGACCCTCAGGATTTCAGATTAAATTTATCAAATATGAGCTCATAATTAAACATCACCAAACCTAAGAAAATAAGTTACCTTGAGTAAGAATCAGCAGTAACAAGAATCTATTTAGATTTACTTATTTTTTATTTTTATATATTTATTATAAATTTATTTAGATACCACTGGTTTCAAGTATAATTTTCAAATACTACGTAGAATGATTAAAGAGCAGATTAGACCCAGAAGAAAAGACTATCTGTGAATTGGAAGAGAGATTTGAGGAAAATACCTAGACTGAGAGAGACAGACAAGGAGACGTAACCTGTGAAAGAGAGGTTGGGAAATGAAGTCAGAACAAAGTCTAACATACTAATTGAAGTCCAGAAGAACAGAATAAAGGAGAGGTAACAGTAAAAGCAGTAATGGCTAGGACACGACAAAACAAACAAACAAACAAATATGATCCAACAGATAAAGGACACATAAAGTGTATGCTAAACAGGAGAAATGAAAATAATCCATACCTAGAAACAATGTAGCAAACTGTATAACATCAAAGATGAAAACAAGCTCTTAAAAGCCAAAAGAGGGAAAAGACAGATCTACAAGGGAATGACAATTAGGCTGAAAGAGATTTCTTGACAGCAAGAAACCAGAAAATGGCTAAATAGTATCTTCAAAGTGCTAAGAGAAAAAGAAAAGGAAATGTATCAATTCAGAATTGTGTATCTATCTTTGAATAGTTTGAAGAGGATAAAAATAAATATAAAAACAGAGTTTATCACCAATAGACTCTCACTAGAGAAACTTTTTAAAGTTTTTTTCAGGAAGAAAAAAAGAAATGAAGACAGAAACCTTCTAAAAATACTGTCTGTACAAAATGTCTTCTAAGTTTGGTGTTTGGGAAAAAAAGAATCAATTAAAATGATGGGTGACTATAACCTATAAATCAAGAGTAGGATGATCAGAGTTAAAGTGTTCTAAGGTTCTTCTGTTGACAGTGAAGATTAAAATATTAACTTTAGAAGCAGAGGAAAATATCAATGCTATTTTTAAGAAATAAGACAACAACAACAAAAACAGAAAAAGTACATAATTCTGAATTCCTTAACAAGTAGGGAGCAAAATTTAAGAAGAAAAGGAAAAGAGCTCAACAAACCAAAAACTTTGATTAGTTGAAAACAAAATAGGAGGAGGAAAAAAAAAGTTTGCATTTCTTATTCAGACAGCTTATTTCAGAATTTAAGAACAAAAGAAGTAAAAACAAAAAACTTGTGTATTTTGAAATGTATACAAATGAACAGTGTGGAAACACTAAGTTTTGCTTTCAACACACAAGCTTTATAAAAATCAAAAGTTACCTTCCGTATCTTCATACTCCTGATCTCCCACATTTAGGGTATATAAAGTTTTCTTCTTCATTTCTCCTTGAAAAAGGGTTTCCTACAGGATGAATTACAGAGAAATTTTATGTTTGCCTTCTCCCAATAATAACACCACCCCCCCAGAACTGTAAGAAATTATGTTACACATAAAAGAACATAGTTACAAGCCAAGCCAGTATATTTTGTGGATAATCCAGTACCTCTTTTATACTCCATGTCATCAAGCACACAGTAGTACTGAAAGGAAAAGCCTTATATAAGTATTAATCAACAAAGACTAAATGATAAATTTTGTGCTAAAGACTTAAATACAATCGGAGCTTAGGGGAAAGAGATCAATTTGGACTGGAGTTTTCACTGAAGGAGACCGGTTATACGTGTTCAGGAATTTAAGGCATTTAAGAAACAACATAGTGTGAAGGAATAAAATAGAGTTTAGCTATGTCAATGTGCCAAGAACAAGAGTGAGTGAGTGAATGAAAGTATAAGAGAGAGAGAGGAAGAGAGTGTGTACACTGAGGAGATGGGCATCTGAAAGACTACAGTGAGGGGTAATGAAAGCAAGAAGCAGAGCAATGTAAATCAAGCAGGGCTAGATTACAGATGGATCTCTCACAATTGACTGAGAAGTTTAGGTTCAATCTTATAGATTCCCCTGAAGAAGACTGACATGATAAAAGTGATGTAAATAAATCTTTTAAAAGAATCATCTACTGACAAGCACAGAATGGATTATAGTGGGGAGAGATCAGAAGCATAGAGATTTGCATGGCTAGAGTAACTGGCTGTGAAGTGAAGAAAAGAAAGTAAGTTCAGAGCTAAAGAATTTCTGAGATTTGGTGACTAAATAAATACGGGAAAGGAGTCAAAGACTATTCTGGCCTAGGGGACAAGGAAAATGGTGATTACAGGAGGCAAAATGAGAAATGTGGGAAAGGAAATTAATTTCTTAAGTCAAAGGGAACAAATTAATGAAGTAAAATTATTTTTTAAATCAACTCAGAATTCTTTCTTGAATTGATGCAAGACACATGATTGCAATGAACCGTTCAAATATGCTTTGTAATATCTAGGCACAAGAAATCCCTAATTTCATCAGTTATGATTCTCCCATATATATATTAAGTAATTTTTCTATTAGTTTCTTAAATAATTTACACATGCTAGATTAACATATGTATTGCCCACGAAAACTCTCTATTAGGTCAAACAAGGAGAAACGCAGCAAAGGCCCCTACCTTGATTCAACAACCAACTGTAAAGCAGAATAAACTTACTAGCACATATAAGAACGATTTAAACGTTTTAATGGATTAAAAATTTGAAATGAGCCAGGATCAGAGCTACTTTTTAAAAAGTTAATTTAATCACAGTCTGCCTTAATAAAAGTAGAATGTCAAAAAGGAGGAAAAATTCCCACTCAGCCTACATTTGCAACATTTATTTCAGTTCTGACGCTATTTAGGAACAAACAACAAAATGATGTAGTGTCCAGGGAAGATGACTAAAATGCTGACAGCCCTGAAAACCATATCAAATGCAGAAAGGTAAAGCAGTAAGGTGGTTAGCCTGGAAGAATAGAAAGCTTAAGAAGAAGGTTAGCAGTTAGCTTCAAATGGAATGGGCTGTTCTGAAGGTAGGTAGAATAACCTACCAATGAAGCTATTCAAACAGAAGCTCAATGAGCTGTGAGGTTTTTTTTCAATTCAAAGATTTGAGTGCTATATGTACACTATTAGGCAATGCTGTAAGTACAACATTGAACAAGACAGAAATTCCTGCCTTTATCCTAGTCAGGGAGATACAATAAACAATGTAAGTTAAGTAAAATATCTAGTATGTCAGATGTTGAGAAGTGTGTTGGAGAAAGATAAAACTATATGATTGTAAAATAAAACATTCAATTAGTATGGCTAATAAGTGAGAAAGTAGAGAAGATACTATTTCACACAGACTGTTTAGGGAAACTCTTTCTGATAAATTGAAACTTGAACTGGCAAGGTGAAAGAAGCGAGGAGAAGAGTGATGTGGATATCTAGAGGAGTGCATTCTAGGCAGAAAGAACAGCAAATTCAGAGGGGAGGAGGCATGTTTGTGGTTCAAGGAACAACAAAGAGTTAGAATAAAGTGTGGTCAGAATAAAGTAAAAGAGAGAAAAAGCAGTCGACGAGGACAGAGAGGTAACAGAATGTAAGATGATGCAAAACCTTATAGGCCAAGGGAAACACAATGGCTGCTTCTCTGAGTCAGATGGGCCAGTAGAGGGTTTTAAGCAGAGGAGGCGGCAAAGGAAAAAGTAGAGGCCAGCAACGAGACTACTGCAACAATCTGGGGCGGGGAAGATTACAGTGGCTTGTACCAGAGTAGAAGCGAGGGTGATGAAAAGTGTTCACATTCCAGTGTGTTTTCAAAATACAGCCATCAGGATGTGCTGACATATTGTGGGGTATGTGTCAGAGAGCAAGAGTCCAGGATAATTCTGAAGTATTTTGACCTGAGCTACTGGAACGATGGAATTGCTGAAACAGAAGATTACTTTAGAAATGTGCAGATAGTCATAGGTTACTCTACTTGATATTCACTCAGGACAGTAACAGTATCACATGGGAACCTGTTACAAGTACAGGATACCCAGGCACCACCCAGACTGAGTGAATCTGCATCTTATCAAGATCTGTACCCAATTCATAGGTACATTAAAGCCTGTGAAACACTGCTCTAGACAACTTCCCAACTTAGATGATTTCAGAGTCATATTGTGCTCCTGTATGATCTATAATTGAGTGTACTACTTTATTTGGGGAAATTCATGCCATCTCCTCCATTATCCTAAACATCTGAATAAAAAACATTTAAGTTGGAGTTAATTCAATGTGAGAAAATGTCAATTTGAAAATTAGCACAATATTTTAAAAATCTAGGAAGTTCTCAGAAGATGTAATATGTCATCCCTTAACATAGCTAAATAATTTATGTCCTATTGGATAGTCTAATCTATGCTATTTTCACATTTTCTCCCTTAAGGATATTAAGCTTATATTTACATATTAATATATTAATTATAATTTACAATTAATATTTTACGGTAAATAGTATTTTCTCTATTTTAACTCATGAAATGAAGTACACAAGTAACAGTTTATCACTGAGAAATTAAGAGACTTTAATCAAGTTACAGACTGCCTTTCCTTATATGTTAGAAATCTGCTTAAAAAACTGTTCAGGTGTTTAAATTTTTAGAAGTTGTGTGCTGCTTCTTGAGCATATCATGGGTTAACTGTTTCCATACCTAAAATGATTAAGCTACCTTACCAGTTTATTCCACAATGAATAGCATTTAGCATTTCACTAGACAAAAGTAACAAGTTTCAGCTCAGCAACTTATAAACTTACAACTTGTTCATGCTTATCTCTTCTATCTGCCTGGACTCCAGTTTTTAATCTAAGAATCCAGGGTTTTTAATACCTCTTGCTTTGAATTTCCAGTAACAGAAGCATGGGAATACAAATACAGACTCATGGTCCTAGCCAGTAATTTGTGGTCAATAAAATACCTAAGAGAGAAACTGTGGGTGGGCAGGGCTATTCTTTCTTGTGATTATCTGAAAAGTTAGATATAACCCAATTTTATGATATTAACTATTTATGAGTCTATAATCATAAGTCATAGTCTACCTAGACTACTTATTAGTTCTACTAGTAAGTTCTGTAAGTTAATTACCTATAAGCCAAATCTAATTTTCTTTTAATTTTTGTTTACCTCAAATAAATTTCAAAGATGTTCATTCTAGATTTTAGGTAAATTCTTTTTACTTTTCAGATTATTTTAAATTTATAAATTTCAATTTTTAATGCCTCTTCCCAGGCTCTACTTTTCTAAGGTAAAATATCTTTAAGTCTGTTATCCCAAATATACCACCATCAAATATCGCCAAATATACCATCTGAAAGTGTATCTATCTTCCAGGTTGCTCTTTTCTATTTAGCTATATATTGCTTCTATTATGTATTAGAAATACTATTCCAAATATGTTCATAAAACAGTTTGGGAAGAATGACCTAATTTTAAAATTTTGTTTATCATAAAAGCCATCAACTTTTAGAATTTGGAATGCAAAAAGCATTGGTACAAATCAGTTTTCGGGAACTCGAAAACTCATTTTCCCACACAAACTCCGGAATACGTGGAAGTGAAAATCCCAGGCCAGCCATTACAGCACATTCAAGTAAGACTAGTGTATAAGACATTTCAGTTCTCTAGAACAGTGCTGCCCAATAGGGAACTCTTCTATCAAGCACTTGAGACGTGGCTAGTCCAAGTGAGGAACAAAATTTTTAATTTTCTGTTAAGTTTTAATTAATTTAAATTTAAGTAGTCCAATGTAGCTACTGGCTACTGTACTAGACAGCACAGCTCTAGGATATAACTACCACCCTCTATAAAAGGAAACTGCTTCAAATTATACCTGGATGCTAATAATATATTTTCTACTGTAGTAGCCGCTGAGGCACCTGAAGCTTCAAGGAATCAGAGAAGAGACCAGAGGTTCCTGGTAATAGAAACTAAACTTTTTTAGCCTTAGCTAGCTGTTTACAAATTCATACCCTTCTTCCTTTCTCTCCATATTTTTCTCTTCTAAAATCTGTTTCTTTCCACCTACTACAAAGCAGAACTCCATTTCTTTCTAGTTCACTTCAAAACTTGCTCTCCTTGCTTCCTCCTACCGTTCTTCAAGAAAGCCTACAGGATCTAAAGATATCAATATCCTAGTTAAGACTACAACTGTTAGGAGTCCGACAGACCTGGATTTAAATCCCAACTTCACTGCCATGCAATAAATTATTATTATCATTATTATTAACTCCAGTAAGAAAAGAAAAATAGGGAAGGGTAATACAATTGTTGCTTGCCCAATTTCTTTGTTTTCCCTAGAGGAAAGTGAAAGGCAAAGGCAAATATAGGTCTGAAAAAATACAAATCAACATTTATGAGTAACAACTAAATTGATTAAGTCAACTAATATTTTGTCAAAATGTACAATCAGATCCTTTAGGTAC